GGTGTGCCACAGACACGCGAGTCCCTGACCTGCTCCCACAGGTAGAGGGGATGAGTGAAGGCAAATCATCTTCAGCAGCCTGGAAACACGGGCCTTGCCAAAAACAAAACATTTACAAGGAGCTCCAGCAGGCCACACCTGCAGCTGCTAGGGTTTTCGTGGGAGGGGCGTCCACTCAGCCTCCCCCATCCCTGGGTTCCCCACCCTGAGGGTGCTGATGCTCCTCCCGCTAAGAAGCAGGGTCTGAAATCCCACAACACAGACACACACTCGTGTTCTCCATCCCGCCCTGCCCTGCAAGCTGCCTGGTTCGGGCCTCCCCTGGGAGCCCTGAGGAGAGCAAAGGTGACCCCAATGGTGACGTCAACAAGGACTGATGCGACTCAGGAAAATCCTTCAGAAGTTGCTGGAAACAAAGGGAGGCGTCCACCCCGAGGAGAGGCAGCAATGTCACCTCAATGGATGACAATGGTGTGACATGTAACTAACATATCACTGGCACCGAGAGCACCTCAAAAAAATGCTCAACAGAGGCCGGGCATGGTGGCTCACGCCTGTTATCCCAGCACTCGGGAGGCCGAGGCGGGTGGATCACTTGAGGCTAGGAGTTCGAGACCAGCCTGGCCAACACGGTGAAAGCCTGTCTCTACTAAAAATACAAAAATTAGCCAGGCGTGGTGGCAGACGCCTGTAATCCCAGCTACTTAGGAGGCTGAGGCAGGAGAATCACTAAAACCCGGAAGGCGGAGGTTGCAGTGAGCCGAGATCATGCCATTGCACTCCAGCCTGGGTAACAACAACAATAAAGACAACAAAAACAAACAATCAAACAAAACAAACAAAAAAAAAGCTCAATAGAGGTTCCACAGGTGAGCAAAAAGCAAGCTGCCAAAGCACGCCCACTGGACAAGGTCACTGAAACCCAACCACAGTGGCAGGGCGAGGCTGCACCCAGCACAGGGACAACAGACATCCATGGAAGAATAAAACTGTCTTCAACTGCTTGGGAACGAATCACCAAACTCAGGCCAGCGGCTGCCTCTGGCTTCGACAACACCCATGTTTTATGTCTTAAGTGGGGTGGTAGATGTGTGATTAATTCTTGTCTTAATTTTGTACTGTGAAATAGTGTAAGGCTCACACTAAGCGGCAAAAGCAGTGCAGAGGATTCCTGTGTCCCCTTTGCCTGGGCTGGCCTCAAACTCTTGTGTTCCAGCGATCCTCCCATCTCAGTCTCCTGTGACTACAGGCGCCCAGCCCAATGATGACATCTTAACGTAACCACAGGACATTGTGTAGCGCTACCCCCTCAAGGCGTTTTTGTCAGAAAGCATTGTAACTATTTTTTCAAGCATTCCATTTGGCCAAATAGCAGAGCACAGGCACCCATCAGTGCCTCGCCAATACGTATGTCTGGCTGCAGGGGGTGGCCGGACCTGGCCTCTCGGGAGCCCAGGGACAGCCGGGCAGGGCCAGGCCTCCTGGATCAAACATGTCCACGGGAGCCTCACCTCAATCTTGTCTGTCTTGGCGTCTCCCCAGTAGAGCTTCCCCTCCTGCAGGTCCAGGGCCAGGCCGTTGGGCCACCCAAGGGAGGCATTGACCAGCACACGCCGCTCCTGCCCGTCCAGATTGGCACACTCGATTTTAGGGTTCTCTCCCCAGTCTGTCCAGTACATGAGGCTGGAAAAGAAGCAGAAGTCCATGACTCCATGCGTCCGTCTGGTCTCTGCGGCATCCCCAGTGCCAAGAGCAAGGCCTGTCCCCGAGTTGGTCCCCATCACATGGCTAAATGTTGGTGTCAGTAAATATCGGCATTGGTAAATGTCTGCATCGGTAAATGTCGGATGTCGGCGCTGGGAAATTTGGTGTCGGTAAATGTCAGTGTTGGTAAATGTCGGTGTCAGTAGATGTAGGTGTCGGTAAACGTGAGTGTCGGTAAATGTCGGTGTCAGTAAATGGTGTCATAGATGTCGGTGTCAGTAAATGTGAGTGTCGGTAAACATCGGCATCGGTAAATGTTGGCATTGGTAAGCGTGTTGGTAGATGCTGGCGTTGGTAAATGTCGGTGTCAGTAAATGTCAGCGTTGGTCAATGTCGGTGTTTATAAATGTTGGTGTTGGTAGATGCTGGTGTCAGTAAGTGCTGGAGGACTGAGCATGCCAGGGGCAAGCCCAGTGATCAGAGCCTCTGGAGGGTCCCCTGGGACAGGGATGCCCACTGCCACCCTGCGCAGGTTTCACCGCACCAGCCCTTGGACTCTCAGGAGCCAGGAGCTCATCTCCCATTCCAAAGGTCAGTGGACAGAAACGACCCTGCCCAGGGTCTGGGACAGCCTCACGTCTGACTGGTGGGCTGGAGGGGAGGAGCTGAGCACCCAGAGGAGGAAGGGGCAGAGCGGAACCTCCTGCACACAGCTGAAGGGCTCCCCTGTGCAACGGACAGGTGACTTGTTCCCTGGGGCCCCCCAAGGAGGGAACCCAGATCCTGGGGTGGTAGCTCAGGGGTGGAGATTCTGGGGTCCCAGGTCACAGCCTCTGCTTTGGCTGTGTCTGACCCAGCTGGCCAGCCCCTCTGCCTCCTGTTTCCAGCTCGGTGCCTCTCCCTGGACCCCACAACCTTACACGTCAGACTGCCAAGCCCATATCCCTGGGATCCTCAGACTCATGAAACCAGGGCTAGGAGGGACCTTGGCATCGGCTTCCCCATCCCTTCCTCTTTCACAGATGGGGACACCGAGGCCCATGGAGGCAGTGACATGACCAAGCTCCTGACCTCAGGGCCAGGTTCCCTTCACTGTGGCTGGCAACCAGTTTTTGTGCCTCCTCCTGCTAAAGCCCCAGGGGGCCCCACTTCCTACCCTCATTCGCCCTCCTCGGGACACAACCCAGCCCTTCAGCCACTGACATGGAGCAGCCCTCGCCCACATGCTGCCGTGCCCCAGGGTCCACGGAGGGCTGCTCGAGCCCTGCCCGCTGCCTGCTGTGCTCCCGCTGCCTGCTGTGCTCCCGCTGCCTGCTCCCGCTGCCTTCTGTGCTCCCGCTACCTGCTGTGCTCCCGCTGCCTGCTGTGCTCCCGCTGCCTGCTGTGCTCCCGCTACCTGCTGTGCTCCCGCTGCCTGCTGTGCTCCCGCTGCCTGCTGTGCTCCCGCTGCCTTCTGTGCTCCCGCTGCCTGCTGTGCTCCCGCTGCCTGCTGTGCTCCCGCTGCCTGCTGTGCTCCCGCTGCCTGCTGCCTGACATGCTGGCTTCTAGACACCAGTCCACTTGCAGGAAAAGCTCCCTGGCCAGCACGCTCGCAACCCCCAGGGCCGGGCCACGAGCACAGGCTCCACAGCCTGCAAATCCTCTGCCCGCCACTGCCCGATGGGCACCCTGGGCAAGTTCCTTCACCTTCTGAGCTTCAGGTCCCAGGGCCATGAGCCTGGAAACACAGCTGGCTCCCACTAAGTGCTCCATGGAAGGAAGCACTGCTACTGACCTCCCAGCTCCTCTGGGACGTCCCATCGGCACCCCCAGCTCCAGTGCGCCTCCTCCATCAGGGTTTTCTCGTTCAGTGTTCTGGGTTATGAACTCCCGGGAAGGCCCCTGGCTACTACCCTTTGAGCCGCTGGGGCGGGTCTCAGAAAGGCTCCCCTACCGACTGACAAGCTCTCTGCTTTCACAGACTTCTATGCTACAAAGCTGGAGCCACGCTGCCAGGCCCAGCCCCACACCTGCCACCTCCTGCTGTGTGACCCTGGGCAAGTCCCTGAGCCTCCCTGGGCTTCAGTGTCCTCAACTGTACAACTGTACCTACCCCCTGAATGAAAAGACTGACGATGTGCAAAGTGTTAAAAGAGGCCTGGCTTGACCGGGCATGGTGGCTCACGCCTGTAATCCCAGCACTTTGGGAGGCTGAGGCAGGTGGGTCACCTGAGGTCAGGAGTTTGAGACCAGACTGGCCAACATGGTGAAACCCCGTCTCTACCAAAAATACAAAAATTAGCTGAGCACAGTGGCAGGCGCCTGTAATCCTAGCTACTCAGGAGGCTGAGGCAGGAGAATCACTTGAGCCCAGCAGGCAGAGGTTGCAGTGAGCTGAGATCACGCCACTGCACTCCAGCCTGGATGACAGAGTGAGACTCCATCTCAAAAAAAAAAAAAAAGAGGCCTGGCCTGTATTGTGGTCAGTGTCACAGAGGCTGCCCTTACTGTCACTACTGTCATCCTGGAAATCACTCAGGTGGACTGTTCCATTCTACAGATGAGGAAACTGAAGCTGGGGAACAAAGAGCTCACTCCAGGTCTCCAGGGCTTTCTACGCATGGACCCAGCAGCAGCACTGGACCACTGGGGTGCTTGTTAGAAACCCAAGTCCTCAGCCCCGCCCTGGAGCTCCTGAATCACCACTTTGCGGGGGGGGCCCAGCTGCCAGTGTTTTAACAAGCTCTCCTCCGGGTTCTGATGCAAGACAATGCTCCAGAATGACGGGTCCCGGTCAATCTCCCTCTCGCCTGTGCTTGGCCTGGCCCAGGCTCCAGGCCCCAGTCCCCGCCCGTCTTACCCCATCACGGGGTGCAGTGCAATGGCTCGGGGCTCGTCCAGGTCCTCTGATACCAGGATCTTGCGGGAGGTGCCGTTAAGGCGTGTCACCTCGATGCGGTCCGTGCCCGTGTCGGTCCAGTAGAGGTTTCGGGCCACCCAGTCAACTGCGATGCCATCGGGGTCATTGATCTCGGTGTTGACCAGCGTCTGCGCCCCAGACCCATCCAGGTACGCCCTGCGGATGGCCCGCACCTCGTCATCCGTCCAGTAGACGTAGCCCTCCAGCGGGTCGTAGTCGATGGCAATGGCATGCCGGATGTCATCCACCTGCAGCACAATGTCGGTGAAGTCCGGCGTGTCCAGCGAGATCCTCCGTAGGTCCGTCCGCCGGGCCAGCAGCAGCACCTCCTCGGCTCCTGTGGAGACAGGTGCAGTGGGGTCAGCGGTCAAGGGCCTGCAGCAGGCACAAGACTAGGCCTGGGGTGGGCCGGGCAAGGGAAGACTCAGCCAGGCCCCCAGGGCTCTCCTTGCAAAGGCTGGTGATATTAGGTGACACGCACCCAGCCCATGCTACATGGTCACTCGTTCATCCTCATGACAGCTCTGGGAGGCTGGCACTGTTTGTTTCCTTACTTTACAGATGAGAAAACTGAGGCACAGAGAGGTTATGCACCCAGCTGAGAGCCACACAGCCAGGCCATCGGGCTTTAACCACTGGGTGGGAGCTGCCTCACAGTCCCCCTTGTCTCCTCCCAGCCCCTCTCCTGGCCACAAACCAGCCCCAACCACAAATCCCACCGGGTACGACCTGCTGGCCATGCTGCTCAGCATGCCCGCCTTGCAGGGCAGACCCACCTGTGGGCCACGCTGCTCAGTGTCCCTAGCATGCCCGCCTTGCAGGGCAGACCCGCCTGTGGGCCACATTGCTCAGTGTCCCCAGCGTGCCCGCCTTGCAGGGCTCACCCTTCTTCCCCAGCTCGATGCCACTTCATCTCTCCCTCCCCTCCACCACCCGAGGGCAGCTTCAAGCCCCAGGATCACACCAGGGGCTCCTAGGCAGGACCAGATGCACCTGTCAAGTGAATCACCCTCTTTACTCATTGCCCAGATGCTCCCAGGCCACCGAGATGAAGGGAAAGCCTGGTTCTGAGGCCTGAGACCTGGAGGCACTGTCAGGAACACCAAGAGCTAACACAGTTTCGTGACCACTTGACACACCAGGCAACACAGGAGCGAGACGAGAAACACCTCCGGGGCATGCGTTCTGGTCACGGCTCGACCCAGGGCCCTGGCTCCTTGGAGGGGGCTCCACCGCGGCCTCCACACAGCCGGGCCATCGGAACATAGCGATGACCCCCAGTAACTCAGACTTGGTTTCTAAATAGGGTCCCACAGAGAACAGCCAAAGCACTATCCGTACACCTCCAACTAAGTTTCAGAACCACGCCACGAAACACCCACCCCACAGCCACCTGGGCCTCTGCTGCACCCCGGGGCCAAGCCTGCTGCTGGCAGAGCAGCTTGAGGTCAAGCCCCTCCACGGCACGGGTGGGCAGGGTTCAGAGTGGCACTTAGGCAGGTGGATGAGAGGAGAACCTGGTCCTCTCAGGATGTCCCTGCAGACAGGCTGGACACAGCTGGGGACAGGAGGATGCTCAGGTGATTCTGGTCTCAAATAAAAGCCCCCACTCTGGCTGAGGGCAGGATTTGCCAGCCCTCAAGATTTACATGTGTGAAATCCCCAAGGAAAGTTCTCTCTGCTCCGGGCATCTGTGCCCTGCCTAACTCACCAGCGTGGCCTGACAGCATATGACCGGCATGAGAGAAGCTCAACTCAGACTCCCTCGGGGACCACAGCAACACTCCAAGAGCATCTGAGCAGCATGGCCCAGGGATCAGCTGTGGACGGGGTCCTGCCACTCAGGCCCAGCGGCATGCAAACCCAAGGATCCCTCACCACCCACTCCACAGGATGCATGGAGACCCCCCGACCTTTCAGCCATGGCCCTCCAGTGGGATTCTCAGTTTGCAGGTCGGGCGGATTACAAGATTCTCTTCTGAACCCCCGTGGCCCACCCTCCACATGCTTCTGACCCCCATGGCCCGAGGCTCCACACACAGCAGCACCAGCATTTCTGACTGTGTCCTAGGATCCCCGGTTGGGATTTATCAGAGCTTCCTGCAGAAATTACAAGTGGAGACCCATGCACACTGGGGCCCCCAGGGTGCCCTATCATCCCGACACAGATCCTGCCAATGCTGCTGGGGTCAGGATGTGGCTCCCTCCCCGAGTTAGGGCATCATCTACTCATTTGTTCCAAACCTTTCTGGTCTCAAGGATGCAGAGCCAAGGTGGTCAGGGTCAGAGACCCCTCCCAGTGTCCTGTGGCCACGACCCTGCACAAGGGCCCGGGTCACAATCTGAAAAGGGGCCCGAGGCTAAACCAGCCCAGAGCCTCCCTCATGCCGTGGCCCCTAGACCTGGCCCTGCAGCCAACTGCCAGGTCTCTTGAGTGCCCTGCCAGGCTGCAGCCTTCAAACAACAGATGGTCCCCTGCGCCCAGGCTCTGGCTCTTGCCAGGAGGAATGCAGAGACTGTTCCAGGATCCCGGCGTCCAACGTTTCAAGGAAGGACAGGAGCCCCTCCTGACTCCTGCTCCAAGCCCCGGAATGTATAATCTGATTCCACCACTAGAGGGCGCCCAGGTGATGGCGACAGTGACACAGGCCCAGGGCTGGGGAAACTGAGGCAGGCAGGCTGGGGACAGTGAGGTGGAGGCAGCACTTGGAAGGTACCCTAAATGCCCAGCTACAATGTAAATATCTGAGAGCCAAATTCAGATCTGGTCAGAGGCATCTGATTCAGTGTATATTGGTAGGGGGAGGGGGAATCTCTGAATTTCAGTAAATTTTCTCTCTCTAGGCTCCACTCCCAAAATGTTCTGTTGACAATGGACCTGTCCTTCAAGGCCCAGGTCACATGGCACCGCCACCTCCTCAGGGAAGCCGTTCCTCCCCGCACCCCAGTGGATGGCCGCCCCGCACCCCCAGTCTACCCCATGACGAGGGCACCACCCCCACTGGCTCACTGGGGTCCTGGCGCAAGCCCCCTGCTCTCCACGGCCCCCAGCACAGCCCCACGCCCACAGCGGCACTACATCCAGGCGATGAGCAGGGAGAATCTGAGACCGAAACCTCTGGGGACTTGGCAGTGTCCGAGTCCCTGTCTAGCTATAACTTGGAGGGGACCAGAGACTCCACTTCATGGAGACAGCTGGGAGAGAGGCAGGACCCAACCCATTTGCCTGAAGCTCTGAGTGAGCTGTGACCAGCACAGGGGTGACCCTGGTGGTGGTGGGGACTCTGTCCAGCTAGGCCAGCAGGGAGCAGCTGCAGAGAGAGCGCTAGCAGCCTGGGCTCTGCCAGATGCCTGCCAAGGCTGGTGCCCACAGCTGGCCTCCAGGAGGTTCTGTGTGTAGAGAGGTCCGAGCAGCAGCCATGGCCACGGGGAAGCAGACCTGGGGTTGGGAGGGGCAGGTGCAGGGGACTGTGCCAGGCTATAAAGAAGGGAGGCCAACTCCTTCCCTGGGACCAGCTACGGAGCCTAGGTAGGAGTTTATTTAAACACCAAGGAAGTAAATTGTTTAGAAACTAACAGTTTGGCCAAATGATTTTCTTTGGGGTTGTTTAAACAAATAGCCAGCCCCACAATGTTGCCTGAGAGTGAAACCTTCCCCTTACCCGAGCCTCCTCCAGGCGGGCTCCTGACCTCTCCCCTTCCTCCCGGCACGCAGGCAGGAGAGAAGGACGACATCCCTTCCGTGAGGCCAAGCTCAGGGCAGGAGCTTGGGGCAAGGGCCAGGCAGGGCACAGCTTCCTAGTAGGCAGCCTTGTCCTCAAAACAAAAAAGTAGTCCCAAGAGATGGCCCGATGTCATGGACATGTCCAGCTCAGCACCATCCATCCCTGCTCACCTCTGTCCCTGACCACATGGACATGCAGGACCTGCGAGGGGCTGCTGTGACACACTGCCGCCAACCAGGTGGCTTCTAACATCAGAAATGTACCCCCCCACTGCCCCCACCAAGGCACGCACCCCCAACGTCAAAAGTCAAGCTGTCTGCAGCGACAGACTCCCTCTGAAGACTCCAGGGCAGGATCCTTCCTGGCCTCTCCCAGCTTCTGGTGTTGCAGGAAATACTTGGAGTTCCTTGGCTCGTGGCCTCCATCACACTAAGCCCTGCTCTGCCTCCACGCAGCCTTCACCCCTGAGTGTCAGTGTCTGCTCTCCTGCTCTCATGAGGACACCAGCACCGTGGATAGAGGCCCCCTACTCCAGGGTGACCTCATCCTTGCTTGATTACATCTGCCAAGACCCTGTTTCCAAACTAGGTCACATACACAGGTTCCTGGGGTTAGACCTTCAGCATATCTCCTTGAGGGACACAATTCAGCGTACCCAGCGGTGAGCAGACGGTAATAGGAGCGCTTCAGCGGAAGGCCAGAGGCAAGTGTGCCAGGCAGAGGGGATGGCCTGGGCCACTGCAGGGAGGCCGGACAGAGGGTGGCCCGAACCTGTCGCCGGGGCTGATCTGAGTGTGGAGGCCTGGCACCCACTAGCGTTGGCGTTGCCCCGCCCGCTACAGCTCTCTTCTGAGGCCCCACTGCGTGCAGGACACGCCCCACTGCGTCCAGCTCTGAGCCCAGCCCTGTCCTCCAGGAAGCCTCATGCAAACAGCCCGCCGTGCGTGCAGCAGATCCCAACCACAAAAGCAAACAGACTGCCACTCTCACACAAAAGCCGGGAAGGAAACGCGCTCAAATGTCAACAGTGGTTATCGTCGGACGGGTCCTATCCTTCCTTCGAGCTGTCGGACAGAGGTCGGCAAGTACTCTGGGAAGGGCCGGAGAGCAAATATTTTCGGTGCTGCGGCCTGCACGGTCTCCTTCCCGCCTCCTCAGCTCTGCCGCAGCTGTGGGAAGGCAGTCTGCCTCAGTCCACACAGCTGGGAGCAAACAAAACTTCATTTATGGACACTGAAATGTGAGTTTCATGTCATTTCCCCATGTCCCAAAACATTATTCTCCCGATTTTCTTCTCAACCATGTAAATATGTAAAAAGCATTCCGAGCTCACAGCCTGTTCCAACTGGCCCCTTGGCCAAATGACCCTCATTCAAGAAGCGTGTGTGACTTTGTTTTTGAGATGGAGCTTCACTCTTATTGCCCAGGCTGGAGTGCAGTGGCGCGATCTCGGCTCACTGCAACCTCTGCCTCCCAGGTTCAAGCAATTCTCCTGCCTCAGCCTCCGGAGCAGCTGGGATTACAGGTGCCCGCCACCACGCCTCGCTAATTTTTTGTAGTTTTAGTAGAGGCGGGGTTTCACCATGTTGGCCAGGCTGGTCTCGAACTCCTGACCTCAGGTGATCTGCCTGCCTCTGCCTCCCAATGTGCTAGGATTACAGGCGTGAGCCACCACGCCCAACCATGTGTGACTTTTATAATATCAGAAAGAAAATTACAATGGGGGAAGGAGGGCAGGTGGGGAAAAGGGGAAGAGGAGAGCGGGAGGAAGGAACTCCCTGTACTTGTCCCTTGATTTTTCTGTAAAATTAAAAGCGCTCTAAAACAATGAAGTCTATTAAGGTTGCTTAAAAAATTAAAAGGCATACAAGTCAATAGGGACAACACCAAAACCTGAGCAATAAATGAGCAAAGACTATAAACACAAATTAACGGGAAAAAGAGCAGTCAGTAAACGTGGAAAACGGTAACTTCTCAGTCATCTGCAAATAGAAGGGAGCCGCCCAGAGTTGCTGGTGAGGTGGAAAGGCTTGTTGGACGTTTAAGTGGGGGCATCTCCCGCTTCCAGAAGGGCTGTAAAGCACCGCAGGCTTCCTGGTCAGCAGCCTGGGAGCCGCTGACCCCAGCATTTCCTCTCTAAGAACACAGGCAGAAGCGGCAGTTGGAACGCATGGAGGTTCATGCATCTAGACACCACCATGGCTGCATTAGGACAGCAAGACTCAAGGCCAAGAACCTGGAGACACCCAAAACGTCCCCAAATATTTTTGAATAAAATTTATTTTATCTAAACAAGGGCATTCAATGTGATGGGTGATGACACAGGCACAAAACAGCATGCTCTGGAGAAGAGTTAATGAGGTAGGAATTTGCACGAACGACAAATGAAAAAATATCAGATACATTACACACAGTTTGAATGAATCTCCTAAAACTCAATTTATATATTTATTTTATTAATTAATTAATTTTTTTTTTTTTTTTTTTTGAGACAGAGTCTTGCTCTGTTGCCAGGCTGGAGTGCAGTGAAGCAATCTCAGCTCACTGCAACCTCCACCTCCTGGGCTCAAGCGATTCTCCTGCTTCAGCCTCCTGAGTAGCTGGGATTACAGGCACCCGCCACCACACCTGGCTAATTTTTTATTTTTAGTAGAGATGGAGTTTTGCCATGTTGGCCAGGCTGGTCTTGAACTCCCAACCTTGAGTGACCACACCCCGCCTCCAGCCTTCCAAAGTGCTGGGATTACAGGCGTGAGCCACTGCATCTGACCCTAAAAGTCGATTTTGATATGTAAACAGAAAAAAAGTGCACAAGACACATAGACACAGCTAACTCTGGGTGGCAAAATTATGGGTAATATCTATTTTCTTCACTATTTTTTATAATGTTTTCCTGGCTACAGTGAATGTATAAATGTTATTTCATACGAGGAAAGAAAAAAGCCTCGAAACACGGGTGAATGGGTTTATCCTTAGAGGCTCCCCGTCTCCAAGGGAGATGGGTCGGGATGCTGGGGACCAGGCCCTCTTCCTGGGGCAACGTGGGGGAACGAGCCACCTACCCCGCCACCGAATTGCCTCAGGGTGTGGGTACTGACACCCCAGGCTCATTCGGTTTCCAGGGTCTGAGATGTGCTGATTGACGGGAAGAATGACAGGATATGAGTGGGATGGGGCGAAATAAGCCACCTGCAGCCCC